CAATGAACACAAGTAACTTCGTAAAAAATATTTATAAAGTATTTGCCTGTCGACAGTGGGTCGCGCACGGGCGGGCGCGGGCTTTTCAAGACAAGACGAGTGCGAGAGGCTGAGAGCGATTGTTCTGCATTCGGTTCCTATTTTTTGGAACAACACAAGTGACAAGAGGGCATGTTTTAGTGTTTCGTTTGATGGTTGTTCTATTTACTTATGGAAGAATAATGAAGGAATACCAACGGCAACAGTTACGGAATTAATTTGTTCTATCATATTTATTACTTTTTTGGTAGACACATTTTTACAGTCATTTTTGCGTTAAGAATTTGTAATATATTACTAGAAAATTTGCACTATATGTATTTTCTGCTGTAATAAAAGTATTTAAAAACTTTAGTGTATCATGTTAGTTTTTGTTGTCCTACGCTACTCGATTCTCGGTGCCTCGAGGCTCGAAGTGCTCAACTAATGTCTTGACTCTTGATTCTAGAAGATTCCGTCATGGGTCCTGCTGTCGGACAGACGTGTGTCTTTAGCTGTTCGGTTGTTAGAGTACTCGACGCCATTCGTTCGTTTTCCCTTATAATTTGAAGAGAATTGACATCTGATAATTGTTTTTTGTGTGGGCCTTATTTGCAGCAAATCACATATTCATACGTTCTATTAGTTTTCCTAATTTATTCAGTGTTGGCTACTTATTTTTTTTCTTCGTTCTCCGCCCATGAGCGGCTGAGCGTGTGCTGTGCTGCCATGGGCCCATAGTGGCAAAGCAGAGAGTTTTTTAGACTCTCCCTCAAGTTCATTTTTTAGTCCTACAAGTTGACCAGTAAAGTATCCTGGATACCAGCATTATCATACTTAAGAAATTGGTTCAAATCTTGAGTAAATGAGGAAATTAAATATGAACTGATTCTAAAAAAGCTCTTGTTTGCCACTATGCATGGGCCCATGGCGGCATGGCACATTGGCACTAACCCTTGTTGTGTGGGGCCCAGTGGGAGTGGGGGTGAGTGGTGAAGTGCCTGTAAACAAAAATCATGTTTGCATTTCCACAAATGCAACACAAACACTAATTAGTCAAGGTCTGAAGGTCCTACAGGCTACAGCTACAGTCCTAATCAAATCAGTTGGTCTAAATGCTTGCACATTTCTTCAAAATCCTGTTGAGCGAGCTGGCTCTAGGCCTTACGCCGCCTTAGCCTGCTTAGAGACACTGCCTATGGCAGATATTCTGATATTAAGGTGAGAAGTTGAGAACTAGCTAACTTGAGGAGACACTTGGTGGTGGTAGAGTTGACATTAATTTCTAATTCAGACCTGAGCACTCTCCTTGAAGTCACAAAGGTTTAACCTGGCAGGTCAGTTGCTTTCAACCTGGTACTGACAGCTGACACTTGAGTGAGTGACTTGTATAGGCTGTTAGCGGAGTGATTGGTCCACCTTTGGTGGGAATCTCAGAACTTCTGGAGTTGGCAAAGGCAGGCTCTTTGAAGATCAAGGAAATAGTATGACTTTGACTTCCATGGATGATGGATGATGGCGCTACATGCTCTAAAAAAAGCCTTAATGCAGCGGGCGCTACCGCTACACCAACTAGATTGTAGCGGGCGCTACTGCTACCACTACAGTAAAATTTAGCGCTGCTACATTAGTTGCTACAATGGCCAAAATTATTGGAAATCTCTAAATATTTATTGTTCTGCTATTCATGCAGGTAGCTATCCAGGAACCAGGATAGTAGGCTACCTACTTTACTGCATTATTCTGCATCCTGAAACAGAAAGGAATGTGAAAGGAATGAAACGGAAAGGAAAGCAGAGAGTTTTTTAGACTCTCCCTCAAGTTCATTTTTGAGTCCTATAAGTAGACAAGTAAAGCATAGTGGCAAAGCAGAGAGTTTTTTAGACTCTCCCTCAAGTTCATTTTTGAGTCCTATAAGTAGACTAGTAAAGTATCCTGGATACCAGCATTATTATACATAAGAAATTGGTATAAATCTGAAGTAAAGGAGGAAATTAAAAATGAACTGATTCTAAAAAATCTGTGCTTTGTCACTATGGTTTTAGTGACAACCATCATATGTTTTGGGGAAATGAATCATAGTTTAGGTTAATTACTTTTCATTGTATGATGCTTGATGGTTGGTGCACAATTCTATAAATGACATTCTTGATTTTATGCACTATTTTGTGATGACCGATGTCTGATGATACACTAATTTTTATAAGTGAAATTCTTATCACTGAGCAAGGTAAATGTAATCAAAATTCTTTGCTGTTAGTCAATTTTTTTTGTTAACTGGAGCCTTTGCTAACCGAGGTTCTCCTGTAAATGCGGTTATAGCCTATAGGGGTGTCCCTTTACTCCGACTCCCTTATTACCCTGGCGGCTGGCGCCTGGGGGTGGGGGGGGTGTCCCTTATTACCCCATTGCACGGAAATGGCTGCCCCTTTTTTTAAATGAGATAGGCAAATTCCATCAATTGCGTAAATTATTGCGTTTTCAAGCCAACACCTGTGTGCAACTTTTATGTAAGTAAAATTTTTTAATACAGTGAAAATTTTTTTGCTACAGACATTAGTAGAGATACTTTTCCAAAATCTCACTTTTCACACTTTTTTTCAGCGATTCTTTAGAGATAGTAAATGTATGATTCCTTAACTAGCTTTATACATAATAGATAGTAAAAATGTTGAAGTTTATGCCACTATTTTTAGTTTTGTAATATTTTGATCGGTTTTATCTGCTACAACATTTCTACAAAATGTATTAGGTATGTCTTGATTTACCCCGCCCACCCAATATTACCTGTTTGATGGTAGCAAATGTATGATTTTTTAACTTGCTTAATGCTACGTAGATATGAAAAATGTAGAACTTGTGCCACTATTTTTAGTTTTGCAGTATATTAAATAGTTTAGCTGCTACAACATTTCTACAAAATGTTGTAGGACTGTCCCTTATTATCCCACACATCCTTTGTTACTTTGGCTGATGGTATCTTCCGTGAGGCAATAAAAACATGCATATTTTTTAGCATCAAATTCATTGTTCCATTGATGAGGACGTCAAATTCATTGTCCCAAAGATGCCTCGGTACAATCAAGAAAAGTGGCTTATGCCCATTAAGGCCATTATACTTCTCCTTGAATCATGACTTATTATCAATATTGTCAATGGCAAATAATTGAACCAGACATATGGGCATTACAACTGCCATATGTGATTTAAACAGGCTGTAGGTATGTTTTAACACAGTTTTCATCAATTGATCAATAGTTTTTGATCAGCCATGGCTGCCTATTTCAGTTCAAGATGGCTTGATGGAAAGCCTGAAAAGATGCCACTGTTGCAGCCTAAAAAAATTGTACCTCATGGTCTGGTCTGTGGTATTCAGCTAAACATTGTTTCATAAAGCTGCATAACCTATTTTAGTTTTAGTCATCAACAATGTGATGAAAATGGCACCACAAATTTTGGAAAAAACTGTGGGATCTCTGTAGGACCTTAATAAAATATGTTGACTGGATGTCTTTGGGTTGATAGAGGTTAATTATTGATTTGGGATTTGTTTACAAATTTTCTTATCAAGCCATTTTTGTTCAGTTAAAATATTGATTGGTTTAGATTAGGTACCTTGAGATCATGTGATTTTCATTGCTACTGTGTTTTTGTGTAAAATTTTAAGTAGATCTTGTGTAAAAAAGACATTTTTTATCAATGCACAAAATGTGAATTTTTCTCCAAGCCTCTATTTTTTACAGATGAACAGGACCCAGAAGAACAAGGCCACGGAGTGCTCATCTTGGTCTGTTGAAGGCTAAACTAGCCAAGCTCAAGCGAGAGCTTATCACCCCCAAGGGAGGTGGGGCTGTAAAAATTATTACATTTACCATATAAAATATGGGCAGGCTTATTGTTTCAGAAGTTATTTTATTAAGATAACTTGTTCAGGGAGCATTGACAATGTTTTTATAGTCAGGAAAATTCACATGCAAAGAAAAACTTTCATCTTCTTTACAAGCCACATTGTGGCTGGCATAACCTTATTTTTAATCTCAACTGGTTATGCTTTAAGATCATGCTTAAGTATTAGAATTAATCTCTAAAAAACTTTCTTATGGGAACTTTCGGAACTTTCCTAAAGTGAAGTTTAGAATTTCAGCCAAACTGTTATTGTGTAGGTAATGTCTTTGGTGAAAAATAATTTGCATTCTTGTTTTTTGCTCCCTTTTCCAGGATTCCCTTCAGTTGGGAAGTCTACTCTGCTGAGTAACTTGGCTGGGGTTTACTCTGAAGTTGCTGCTTATGAGTTTACAACTCTTACTACTGTGCCTGGCAGCATCAAGTTCAAGGGGGCCAAAATACAGGTAAATATGCAGGCTGGACTGAACTTTGACTTGAATTTATTATCCAACAAATAATGCAATATTATGAAGTACTTGTATATTTTCTACGTCAGTAGAGTGACGCAGGAAACATTTATTACTAATTGTTTCTTGAAACATAAAAAAGTGCTAATTATTTTCTTCCATTAATTTATTCATTTATTTGGTTTTTATTCCAAATATAATTTTTTTAACTCTCACTTTGTAATTAGAGTGAAACTATTAGCTATAGTGGATACTTTGGTGTATTCTAAAATATATATACGTGTACTAAAATGTGAACAATTAAAGTTAGCAAGTAGATTTTACAACATTTTATTCATCTGTGTTTTAATTGCATTTCTCTTTAGAGCATGAAACAAATTTAATTTCTTTCATATAGTGCGCCGCATAATAAATTTCCTCTGTGTTCACTCCTACTAATCTGTATTAAAATGCCACCCCTACTGTGCAGCTCTTGGATCTTTCTGGCATCATTGAGGGCGCCAAAGATGGCAAATTCTGTGACCTTTGCACCATTTAGAACTGAATGCTACTTCTACTGTGCAGCTGCTGGATCTTCCTGGCATCATTGAGGGCGCTAAAGATGGCAAATTCTATGATCTTTGCACCATTTAGAACTAAATGCCACTTCTACTGTGCAGCTGCTGGATCTTCCTGGCATCATTGAGGGCGCTAAAGATGGCAAGGGTAGAGGCAAGCAGGTCATTGCCGTGGCCCGCACGTGTTCCCTCATCTTCATTGTCCTGGACGTGCTCAAGCCCCTGCAGCACAAGCGGCTCATTGAACATGAACTGGAAGGTTTTGGCATGCGACTCAACAAGGTTCTACTCTAAAATGTTCTTTATTTTGACGTGACTTGATCATCATCTTTTTATTTATAATGTATGAGAGAAGCAGCAAAGAATAAAAAATTTTGTTGAGAAAAAGCTGCTACTTCAAAGTCATTTTTAGTTTTTAGGGAAAACAGCAGCAAAGTTAAAATTTTTTTTTTGCTTGACTTCAATACTTTGCTCTAGATAGGATATCATATATTTTTATATTATAGAAATTGTTCCAAATAATGTTTTGGTAAGCATCTAGAGCAGAATGTTTTGGTCATGAATTTTTATTTAATGTGCCTTCGTCTTTCCTGAAAGCCCGATCACCTGTGGCATTTTTTTACATTTCTTTGTTAGCAGGCAGCAGCTTTATGTAGTAATGTCCAAAGTTACATTAAATTAATCTCGGACAGAGCCCTCCTGACATCACCTTCAGAAGAAAAAAGGAGGCGTGAACCTCAACGCTGTTGTCGCTCAGTCTGAACTTGACGCCGAGCTTGTCAAGGTCAGTTTTGAGTTTGTCACAAAATTTAATGAATTATTTGTAATGCATTTATTTGACGTTTCATGTTGCCATTAAGAATTTATTGCTTTTAATGGAGCTGAGAAAATTTTAAACTGCTTGTGGTGGTGTAGTTTTAGAAGAGCATAATACTCTACCTCTGATTTGCATTGATTTGTTTTAGTTAAAAGCGCAAAAATTGTGATTACGCGAGTAAAAAAAATGCTGCACTGCAGTGTAGATAGTTCATTCTGATCAAGGAATTCTGTAGAATGAAATATTTTTTAAGCCTAATAGCTTGAATTATAGGTGCACCACTTCAATTTTTTCAAAAGTTTGCTTCAAACAATGCTGCAGCTTGTAGCATAAATGATGTTTTAGCTATTAAAAGCTAATAGGTATGTAATAATACTGACTGATACTAACATGTAATAATTGTGTTGTGTTCAGATACTTTGAGCGGAATACAAGATCCACAATGCGGACGTTATTCTGCGCTACGATGCCACCGCTGACGACCTCATCGATGTTATTGAAGGCAACCGCGTCTACGTGCCTTGCCTCTACATCCTCAACAAGATAGGCATGTCTTACATGTTCCTTTAGTCTACGTGCCTTGCCTCTACATCCTCAACAAGATAGGCATGTCTGACATGTTCCTTTAGTCTACGTGCCTTGCCTCTACATCCTCAACAAGATAGGCATGTCTGACATGTTCCTTTAGTCTAGATGCCTTGCCTCTACATCCTCAACAAGATAGGCATGTCTTACATGTTCCTTTAGTCTACGTGCCTTGCCTCTACATCCTCAACAAGATAGGCATGTCTTACATGTTCCTTTAGTCTACATACTTTGCCTCTACATAACAAGATAGGCATGTCTCACATGTTCCTTTAGTTCTTTTAGTTCAAGTGAATTGTTGAGCTTTTTTATTTTAGTTCGAGAGATGTGCATTAAATTGCTTGAACACTTTAGAAGTTAGGGAGAATACAAGAAATTGGCCCTTAAAATGTTCATATAGCTTTTCTAAGATGGATTGCTGTGTTTGATTGCTTAGAATAATTGAACTCTGTGATTCAATTTTGCAAACTCTATCAATGTTCAGCAAAGAATATCAATTATTATGTGCTTCAAATACGTAACCCTTCAACTGTACCTACTTTTAAAGATTCCAGATTGTCATTGTATAATGTATATGCACAGAAAATGATTAATCATCGTATAATGTATATGTGCAGAACATGATGATCATCGTATCCCCTCAGGGGGGACTTCTGACGCTTGTCTGTGCGCGTCAGAAGTCCCGCTGCCTCCAACTCATTAGCCTGCCTCGCTGCCTCCAACTCATTAGCCTGCCTCGCTGCCTCCAACTCATTAGCCTGCCTCGCTGTCTGCCTCTAACTCATTACCCTGCTTTGCTTATTCTCACTCATTAACTTCACTGATCATCCTAGCTCATTAACTTGGTCTGAACACCCTACCTCAGTAACCTTGTCATAACAGCCTACTTAAAACCTGAATTAGACAGTAATTGTTCAAATTTAGTCATATTACCAATATAGTTATAGTTCAATATTGTGATGTCAATGTGTGATGTGTATGGTGCAGCAAATTTTGTGAAGCTGTACGTATGGCTTAGAAAATAGCCATATGAAATAGTATATGGTGCATGAAATATAAATAAATCTAGAGTGCATTTAGTGTGAAGGGTGTAGAAAAAAAGTATATATATATGAAATTGTATATATGGTGCATAAGATATATACAAATCTATCTTGCATATAGTAGCGTATATGGTGTGTTGGAACCCCCTCCGTGGGTCGTGGGTCCCCTTTTTCCCCTCACTTTGGCCCTTCTCACAGCCTGTCTCTTATACACATCCCCACTACCCCGTCCCCCCCACTACCCCGTCCCGGCAAACGGAACCTGACAAGAATTTCNCGAGTACGAATGCAATCAAATGGACAGAGAACAACAGTATAGAGATAAGAAGTTACTGTCGGGAATGCGGGCTGCTGCTGCAGGTTGCGCATCAAGCATCAGACTCGCACAGCGAGCTCTAGCGCATCTCTTGAAAGAGAAAGTGGACGTGAAGCTCCAAGAGATGGTAACTAATTTCAGAATACACTCGACATCTGTTAAATGTTACAAGTATGACTCGTACAGGTACAAACATGAGCACGTTTATTATTATTATAGTTACAAACTTGAACATTTTTATTATTATAGGTACAAACATGAACGCTTTATAAAATTATTTTAGGCGGATGTCGGCCTCACGTCACGCCATGACTATTAGTCTAAAGTAAAAAGAAGCAGAGATAACGGTGTATTTGTCCTCTAGATTGCACGTTAAAAGATATTTTGTGTCCACAAATTCCGGGAAGTGGTCAGAAGATGATGTGTAGTGAATAAACAAGTTGGAACTCGTAAGAATTTGAACGGAATTTTTTTAACTAACATTCCTTGAAAAAATTGCTGAAGCAAAACCACCTAGAATAAAATTGAAGCCAAAAGTCTTTTTGGCCGTCAATTGTGACGCCCTAACATTGTTACCAACTATGGACGTAACCCCGGCACTGATCAGTTCAGTTATTTATGCATTAGTTACACAGAACCACCATTATTCCGACTGTCGTATGCATCAGTGGTAGATTGCTAAGGCCGGTCGTCGACTGCGACATCCAAAACCCGTTTCTATGTTAAACTGTGCCAATGAGTTATAATTCTATATGATGAAAGGAAATTTTATCTCAATATTTCATATTGATAAGAGTTCTCTTCATATACTCAAACAGATAATCAATATTTATAAAATGAGACTTTTGAAATGGATTATCACTAAATAAAAATATAAGCGGCAAGTGACGAGGTAAAAATTTAATGGAAATAAGCTCAAAGTTTATCCAAATTTACAATATTTTTTCATTGATTCAATGTAATAAACGGTTATAAATTTGACCCTACCATAACACGTACGAATAGGAACGGAGCAAAATGTGCCTAATAAAAGTATGTGAGGCGAAGGACTCGACCAGGCATCATCACATGAAGCCTATGCAACATCACGTCAACGAGCACCGACCAAGAAGGCTCGCACCTCGGCTTTATTCACACTCACGAGTCCGGCTGTTTTGGTTCATCTTGAACTGCTTCTCTCCTGAAACCTGCACCACAATTCGTTAGCCCCAAATAACACCAATTCAAGAAACATTATACATTATGACGTTAATATAGTAAGAAATTCTATATGGTTGAAAATTTTGAGGTGTAATTGACACCTAAGTTTCAAGACAACAGCGTATGTCAATGTTTTGTAGAAAATACATTTAAATTTGTTTATTTAAATTTCGTAGCATCAAATGAAACGCTCAGCGAACATCACAGGCTCAAAATTCGAACACAGTAGCTATCACAATTGCAACATAATTATAAAAATGCAACAGGTTGGAGGAAATAAAACTTTTGAACAAAGGTTATAACTTTCAAGTTCCCACCCAAGCTTCAAGCTTTCGCAAGTTTGACGCCTGCAACAGAAAGAACGATGTTTTTTTTACAACTTCACAGAACAGGGAGAGACAATGCGCCTACAGAGCAAATTTTAGAGCTCTCACGTCCCTTGTACAGGTCATGTGCGTACCACCGAATACAACGACGATCTCAAGACCGCAATCACACGGAACGTCGGTGAAAGCCTATCGGGTGACACAACTAATTCAGTGTTACTCTTCCCGCAAGATATTTGGTGTAGACTAAGCTTGATGCCGGCGTTACGCTGGACCTGGGGCCATACTTTCAAAACTCGCTAAGTAAACGTAAGCATTACGCTCTATTTTCTTGTCTATGATTGGTGGATTTTGCTCAAAAGGCCGTCAATGATTGGCTGATGAACTTACGATCTCTTAACTTTTTCTGAAAGTATAGGCACAGGAGTTAATCCAGACGAAGAAGGAAAGGAGGTCTCGTTATACTATAGATCCAAAACTAATCTACTATTTCGGTAATATGGATGCTTATGCATGCAGAAGTCAATTGAATACTGTCAGCGACGCTAGCGCCTATGCATCACAACAAAGAAATAGCATTCCTTCAGTAAGGCATATTTTTTAAAGGCATTCGACATCATAATTCCATAGGAATTATGATGTCGGAAACAACGAAGTTTCAATAAATAATGCCGTTCCAGTTGAGATCTAGAGTGCGGTACAATACAAAACAACTGCATTTTTTTCTTCGTTTACATAATATACAAGAATTTAAATGCATTTCGAGGCCTTGAATATTATAACATGTCTAATGTTACATTAACTGACAATTAAATGATCAACTAATCTACCAACTTGAATCAATGGTCATATATAGGACGCACCTAGACACTTCATAGGTACAAAAATATCTCTGAACGTAAATGCGTCGAAAGAATAAAAACGGAAGAGCCGGCCGGAAGTAGCGCGATATCTCGGCGCCGTTCACGCATCGCAGCCTCCCAGCAGAGACGGTCGGCGCAACTTCTTACCAAAAGAACTAAAAGTAAATTTATTTACACTGGTAACGCACAAAACGATGACTAGGCAAGAAGTGGCTTTTGAGAAAACTGCATCACGCAGCGAGGCTTTCAGCGATTTCACCGAAAAAGCAGGTGCAGTCGTTTCAGCTGAATGGCATTTCGGTCAAGACATGGCGAACAAGAGCAGAGTTAATTACTTCTGAGTAATTCACACGTAAAAGACATCACGAACTAGAAGCACCACAAGCCATACTGAATCAATTACGAAACAGGTTCTACAGGGCACATCAAAGCCCTACATAGATTTTTGAACAGTACACATAAGAAGCTCATAAAGTTATGGATTACATTACCGTATAACAGCTTGAGACATACTCTCGATAGAACATTGAGTGTATGTAGTTCCTATTTACTAATGTTGAACGATTATTAAGCACGTATCCCCGCTGTGTGATGTGCTGGTTTTATGCCAGTACAAAAGCTGGTTTTACACCAGTACATGAGCTAATTTTACACCATGCAAACCATTCTTACAAACCAGCACGTTTGTCACCTCGGACAAAGAGATTGTTAATTGTGAGGAAAGCTTTACATAGCACAGAAAGCACTGTGCTATTCAATTTATTCAAAGGACTTGAGGTCGACGACACGCATTATCACGAACACTTGCGTTCACTTGTCTCAATTACGACGAAATTAGGAAATTTTATTGAAGAACTTAGACTTGTAATCATTTTGACAAAACCGTAAAAATTAATAAAATGACAGAATTGAATTTACCTAGCAATTATATTAGACAGAATGGGAGTAGAATACAATGATCAATGCAGCCGCGACGCGGGCACTTACAAGTACTGAACGAAACGCCGCATTTTGGAAAACGATCATCATGATTAAATACTGCGTTACGACTATTATATAATTCTATACATATTGCGTTCGTTAAGACTATTATATAATTCTTTAAAAAATTACAGTCCCGAGATTGTCGAGCTGTTCACACGAGTTGAGGCCTCTAGAGACACCACTAGCCAGTGTGAACAGCTGTGGTCTGTGTCGAGAGAATGCATTTTACTTTCTGAACTATTCAGTATTTGAATATTCATTCTCAGGGTACGCTTAGGATTATACACCCTGATAAGATCGCACAGCCTTTTTTTCCGGATATCTATTTTCAGTAGAGGGGATAGCACACATAGACTACGTTCATACCTACATGTTGAACTGTTTAACATTACAAGCGGAAGAAACGAAAAATTCAAGATTCGGTGTAAATTCCACCACTGCAGAACACCTGCAGGGATGGTGCGCTATATATATATAATAACATTTTATATAATATAATATATAATATAATAACATTTATACGTAGGACAGGAATTTGCCGCTTCATCTGCAAGTTGCGCGTGAGAACGTTAACATTTTTCTCATGAAATTTGAATTCAGTAACTCAATTGCAGGAATATTAATAATAGAGCACAGTGTGTGCGTGTGAAATACGTTCACATCACAGCAAGTGACGCCGAAACGCATTCAATTGCATGGAATTTTATACGAACATGAATATAAAGAAAATTCGCATATAAAGAAGAGCTGGAGATTCTATCATTATATTAGCTTAAGAAGTTTCGATAATTAAACAGGCGAGGATACGTTTCAACATTGCAGTGTATACTGACAAATAATGGCATTTAAGTAGTCTATCAACATTAGTTCAATACTTATTAAAAGGTCGTAAACGGTCGCCGTGGTTACGTAGAGGAGCCAACGCCGTGGCTACGTTGAAAGGACGGAAGAAGTCCCGCGAACTACACTTTCATTTTACTGTACGAGAAATGAGAGGACTTTCTTCAGCAGCCTGTGCACTCGCGCACCTGTGCAGTGGAGTGGGTGAAGATTTGCTCCATAATTAACTCGCTCGAGTATCTAATTACCACCCGTAATTATGAATTATTCATTACTACATGAATTACCGAGTTAGTAGGCCTAATTAAGAACTCGAACAAGTGGCCAGGCTTAAGTCTAACACCCACTTAAAGTTCTACACTGAATTCATTATATAGTAGGCCGCTAAGTAACATGTCTGGTAGGTTCGTCCAACAAACACTTTATCTACAGATTTCTTAAAAGAAATTTAGTAGCCAGATCGAGAACGAATGAGAGACGATCTGTTAGAACCAAACTGGGCACGAAATAGATATTTATCTGGCGAGCTAGTAAACTTTCTGTTATTAATATTTAGAACCGACGTGGCAGGTGCACAATTGCTGTCTTTAGGCCTCCTCCAGGCACCTCGCCCGCAATGAACAAGCTCAGGAGCAGGGAACACTGAATTTTTCTAAGGCAGTCAGGATAATAACAACGATAACGTTGCGGATCATGGGACTAATCTGTTCAATGCTGATCGACTATAATGGTCAATGCCGCATGGTGGTTCAATAGTCAACCCACAGAGTTGCCGGGGGGATTACCAGGCCCCTCATTGTTGCCAGACGCCCCGAGTGTTGCCATATCCTCAGGGCAATTATTTTGTACGAGTTCGGCAGTAAAGCTTCTGATCATCGCTAGCGAAGGGGACAAAATCGATTGCCAGTTGCGAGGATGTCCGCCTGCAAAGGAATATATAACATTATTCTGTTTTGTTCACATTTCATAAATAAATTATTTTTTCGATAGATTTGTATGTAGTTGGTTATGTTTAGTTATTAATGCCATTTGTACCTTGAGGCTAATTATTGTATATTAAGGTCAGAAGGAAGGGGGGATTTTCTTTTCTTCATACATCAACCACCGCCAATGCTATTCCTACCTACAGGCCTGACAACGTAAGTTACCGTCAGCTGACCAAGTCTTAACATTTTATTTTCCGATACATCAAACGCTCCAAATGCTATTCTTACCTGAAGGCCCAACAGCGTAAGTTATCGTTAATACAACCCTTCGTTTCCCTGATACATTTACCACCGCCAATGCTATTCCTACCTGAAGACAAAGACATTTACCAGGCGAGCTGATGGCAAAGACTGGACACCTGGCAGCCCTGCCAGCGGGGCCCCCAGCACAACCCAGCACAGCGAGCGCCGGGGCGCCCAGCAGACGCAGGACTGGACTGCTGGACTGCAGGGCCAGGCCCAGGCTCCTGATGACGTCACCGGCAGAGTCACTGCCTGCACATTTATTTTATGAATCAATTCACGCTTATTTATTTTGCATTTATTAAATTACATTAGTGACTTTAATTTAATGTTTATTAAATTAATTTTCTTGTTATTGAATTAATTTTGCAGTTATTAAATTACTTTAGTGACTTTAATTTAATGTTTATTAAATTAATTTTCTTGTTATTGAATTTCACAGATATTGAATTAATTTTGTGGTTATTGAATTAAATTCACGGTTATTATATTGATTTCGCGATTAACAAATTAAATTCGTGGTTATCTTGTCATGTTATCTTATCTTATATGGTATTTATACACATCATCGCCAAAAGGTTTACTATACCTATACATACCTACTATTTGTATATCAATTACTCAACATAAATCAACTTTATCTTATATATCTTATCATATAAACACCAAAACATGAATATTACAATAATTAGCTATCAATATAATTAATATATAAATCATTACCGTGTAATTTAAACACATTTTCATAGGTATATATACACGAGGTAAGAGATGGGTCTATTTCCAACATAAATTCATTTGGTGAATAAATTACTCTGCATGAATAAATTACTCTGCATGAATAAATTACTCTGCATGAATAAATTACTCTGCATGAATAAATTACTCTGCATGAATAATGACCTGCATAACGTAGAGGCAGAAGAGGTCATGAGGTGTATATATAATGATGGTGATGATGGTGATAATGATGATGATAATGATGGTGATAATGATGGTGATAATGATGGTGATAATGATGGTGATAATGATGATGATAATGAAGGTGCCTTGCTCGGTGGTTCGCCTCCTGTGGCGCAAGGGGGACTCGCCCGGGGCCGGCAGCTGTTGGCCCCTGGAGCGGCAAAGGATCCACCAGGGGGCGGGGGGCAATGTGGGGTCAAGCCGCAAGGGGAGATGCCCAACACCCCTTTGCTGTTACTGAATTAATTTAAAGGTTATTATTTTACTTTAGCAACTCTAATATAATTTTTATTAAATTAATTTTGCTGTTACTGAATTAATTTCACAGATATTGAATTCATTTTGTGGTTATTGAATTAAATTCACGGTTATTATATTGATTTCGCGATTATCAAATTAAATTCGTGGTTATCTTGTCATGTTATCTTATCTTATGTGCACTTATACACATCATCGCCAAACATACGTACTATTTGGATATCAGTTACTCAACATAAATCAACTTTATTTTATATATCTTATCATATAAACACCAAAACATGAATATTAAATTAATTACCTATCAATATAATTATTAAATGAATCATTACCGTGTAATTTAAACACATTTTCTTAGGTATATATACACAAGGTCAGCGATGGGTCTATTTCCTACATAAATTCATTTGGTGAATAAATTACTCTGCATGAATAATGATGGTGATAATGACCTGCATGACGTAGAGAGAGAAGAGGTCATGTGCTGTATATATAATGATGGTAATGATGGTGATAATGACCTGCATGACGTAGAGGCAGAAGAGGTCATGGAAGAGCTGCAGCATGAGTGTCAGCACGACCATAGTCAGCATGAGCACCGCCAGCAGCACAGGGTCAGCCAGCACCTGCACGCGCTGACACGCCAGCACGCTGCTGCCCCACGTCCCTGCTCACGCAACAATACTTAGTTACTTATTATTATCAATACCCTTATCTTCGCTATTATTTCTTACATAAGTCACGGCTGAGACAATACTTATTTACTTATTATTATCAATACTATTATCTTCGCTATTATTTCTTACATNTGACGTAGATGCAGAAGAGGTCATGGAAGAGCTGCAGCATGAGTGTCAGCACGACCATAGTCAGCATCAGCACCGCCAGCAGCGCGGGGTCTGCCAGCACGTGCACCCGCTGACACGCCAGCACGCTGCTGCCCCACGTCCCTGCTCACGCAACAATACTTAGTTACTTATTATTATCAATACTATTATTTACTATCAATACTATTATCTTCGTTATTATTGCTTACATAAGTCACGGCTGACAAACATTTATTTTCATTATTATCAATACTATTATCTTCGTTATCATTTCTTACATAAGTAACGGCTGAGACAATACTTATTTACTTATTATTTTCAATACTGTTATCTTCGCTCTTATTTCTTCTGTAAGTCACGGCAAACAAAAACATTTATTTTCATTCTTAATCTTATCCATACTATTATTTTTATTATTACTACCTATTACAACCACGTTGTGGCTGACACGAATATTAATTATTAACATCAATACTATTATCTTTGTTATTATTTTGTCCTCATGTCGCGGCTGACACAAACACAAATGGAATCAACATCTCCACTCCCCAGAGTTGTCCATGTTAATTATGCTGTATTTGGTTATCAATATAAGGATGATGATATTTACCTATACGTCGCAATTTAATGCAAGTTATGATGAGAAGCAGAGATTAGGTTTTATTAACAATAGGTACATTTATATACGTACCCGCTTATCTTCAACCAAACTTGCATTAAAAAAGAGCCTTAAGCTAACAAAACAAACATCCTAATTTTTTCAACTCAATGACCTTGGAAACTAGGAAGCCAACATAATAATGATAGGAAGTTTGATTGAATAGACTGACAAATTATCATTAACGATCTGGCCGATGGTGGCATTGAATCATTAAAATGCAGCTTTTTGCTGGTCGGCTTACTGAAGTAAATCACTGAATAACGCAAGGACAGTAATTTTCAACTAATAGAAGTCGTTAAGTTCATAAATGAAGTTATTGTAGCGGTTGACACAATTGTTTGATTTAATCAGGCAATGGATGCAAAACCTCACAAACATCTTAATGATGTTTGTGAGGTTAAGGTTATATTTATCTTAAACATCTTAATAGTACTGTTTTACTGACATCCTTTGAGAGCAGGAATATCGTCCGTTGAATTGAAGTTGGAGGTGAAGGCATCAGCAAGAGGGAGCTCAGAACTGGAGTTCATCCCCAAGATGCTGCCAACCCAAGACTAAAGCAACCCTCCTGCAACAAAAATGCAATGAATATTAAATAAAGAAGTGTAATTTTACTTGAAATATTGATCAAAATGGGGCCAGAGTGCTAATATAGGGAGAAGAAACGTAGAGTCTAGAGCAAAATGAAAACAATGTCATTTCAGACGAAAATATTAGACCTCAAGAACAGTTCAATAGGGAAATATGAAAATAACTATTTTCCAAACGAATTAACTTACTAAAACTTAAACGATGCTAAACATATGATTAATTTGATCTTCTCACCAATAAAAGCATAGCAGATAACTAGGGACATGACACCTCTGATGCCAATGCCTGCGAGGTGAGGTTCATTCTCGCCATCTCCCAGAACGCAGCGTGCATCCTCCTCCCACGAGCGCTGGGCGCCAACTGAGCTCGCAGCCTCTGCTTCTTGGGGGCGGGGATGGTTGCCATGGTGACGAGGTTGCCGCCACCGAGAATGTAAACAAACGCGTAGTGCAGCCCGCAGACGACGCCCAGACACCATGCGAGCAGGGCGCGCGAATTCATGCACATGGCAGAGCTTCCAGAACTGCACAAGAATAACTTTTCATGTTCATATAGATCGTTGTTATGGACATTATTTACTGCAAAATATGCACAAATTCCCCTTGTGCTTAACAATCAGCCTCTCAGTAGTTACAGATGAATTTTAAATCTTGCTTTGTTGTACTAAATACCTACATGAACCATACACGCCTCAGACTAACAAGAAAAAATAGAAACTAAAATGCTTTAAGGAGCAATGATTGACAAAATATAAACAAGATATACATATATGTATATATTAGTTCTAGATGGCAACGAATTCTCTGGTCACTACCTATTTGCATATGTAGGTATATAGGTAGATTAGTACCTATAGGTTGGCAGAATTTCTTCTTTCAAGAAGGTTTCATTGAAGACCAGATAATTTGTTCAATTCGCAATTTTTTTATTAGTTTTTTGATATATCGAACAATATTTTTAGTTTGAACAATTGTTTGTATATAGGTAGGTATATTTATTACCTAGAGCATGGGAGTACAAGAGAAGCGAAGAGAGGATGAGCAGCAGCAGCATAGTGATGCGTGAGGTAGCTGATGCAGGACACCAGCACGGCAGTGACACACAGCGACTTCAGTCTGAGCGCCTTGTGGCACACGTGCCATACTTTGGTGCTATGGTCCTCCACAACTATATAAACAATCATGAATTAGTTTTCTGTATTTTCAGAATGAGACATACCGTACCTATCATAATCCTTTATTGTATTTCATGTCATGTATGAAAAAGATACTTTGCGGTTTTTCAACAAAACAATCAAAACTTATAGGAAACTTTTTGCCAGTTGTTCATTTCCTGAATGGAGTTTTATCATAACTGCTGTGTGGCAACATTAAACTTCTTAAGATGCCTTGCACCTAAAAGTAAATTATAAATAACAGAATTGAGGACATTAATAATTCAAGAAAAGTCATATATATACATTTGTATAAGATAGCAGAATAGGCTTGTTGAAACAGAAGTGATTAATGACCAGTGAATTCATTGATTTAAGTTTTCAGGGTTGAACAATATTCTCCAGATGACATTGGTTGTTCAAAATGCAGCTTCAAGGAAGTATATTTAATTTATTAACAAAGTTTGAAATGTGACAACAATAATTCTCAAGTTATAGCTAGCATTGAATACTGAAATTTTGGCTAAAATACGCACATGAGACACATAAATATGACACAACACAAATTTGGAACCGTGAAAATAATTCCGAAACAGTCTTAAGGTTCAGCAAATTGGGTACCTAGTTCATATGTGACTGAAAACTGGAGTCCAATGATTCTGAAAACTTGAAAATTAATGTTAATGTTGTTACATTAGAAACATTGTTGATAAATTAAATGCACTTCCTTGAACCTGCATTTTGATCAACCAACATCATCTGGAGAATATTGTTCAACCCTGACAATTTAAATCAATGAATTCTTTGATCATTAACCACCCATATAAATATACATACATATCTAAATCTTAAGCATTTAGTAAAATGAGGAAAATATTATTCAACTAATAATTAGACTTGATTACATACAATTTCGTAAAAAAATGTGTAGTCTTCCATTCTATAAATAAATGTTTTCCAGACTAAACAGTCTGTTCTATTATTCAATAGTAACAAGAGTAGATTGACTGTACACAGAAAGAATATAGGCAATAATATTTAAACCTCAGTTATATACTACCATATATATAAAGTATATATTAGTGTAGGCTGGCAGAATTTCTTCTCTTAAGCAAGTTTTGTTAAAGACCAGAGAATTAGTTTTATTTATTAGCTTCTTGTTAGTTTTTTTTTAACAAGAAGCTAATAAATAAAACTAATTCTCTGGTCTTTAACAAAAAATATAGTACTATATAATATACCTACCTGAGTAGTTGTGCACATGAACCCTGACAAGGACGAGGTAACAGAGGGTGGGCAAGAACAGTCCAGATATCCAAGAGCTCTGCCAGAGTTCCTGCACCACAGTTACTGGATGCCAGATCTGTCAAGTCATTAATAATATTAGCAACATTTAAAACCTCTCATACACCATTGGACAGAGAAAAAAAAAATGTATTGTAAAATACATTTTTGTAAAATGTATATATAATATATGTAAATATTTACATATAAATTTAAATGTAAAATATAAGGATATATACTCTATACTCTTTATACAGTGCAAGAAGCAAATTTGACTATTTTCCTTAGCATCCTACAAACAGTTACTTCCAAATATTCAACCCAAAATTTAATGTTTTCTCACAAAAATTTTAGATGAAGCTGCCACAACAAATGGCCTTCTAGGAATATAATTTCATATACTCAAGATTTAATATGTGAACCAGGCAACTTGATTAGTCTTAAGATCTAAGCCAAGTTACTAAGGTAAGGTTAGGTTAGGTTAGTCCACAAGAAAAACGTGGTTTTTTAAAAGTTTTTTTTTAAGTATTTTATTTAAATTCTTTCCAGCAATCCAGATTGGTCTGAAAGTGACTATTCTTCATACCAGCAGCCCATCTTCTGTACTGACAAAACTTTCTCAGTATTACAGATAAAATAAATAATATTGTGGTTTATATATTTTATTTAAAAAAAAACTACTGGAAAATTGTGCCATTTTCTATCCTGAACAAGAAAGGTTAAGCAAGGGCAATAGAAATGGATGAAACAGGAAATTGGACAAAAGCCGCAGGTTAGTCTGACAAAAACCCCATAATTCTGGCCAGTTTTACTCCTTTGCTAGATTTGAATTTTCCCATTTCTGAATGAACTTTTGCAACTTAAAAGTGATGTTTTTATACATTTGTAAATTGTAATCTTGCAGTCAGATTGTGTACTTTAGTTTACAATTAGATTATTATTTAGATAGAAGGTAATTTTTTTCAGCAGGAATCTTGAATGGCAAAAACCTCAAGTTGCAGCACAAAAGGTAGATGTTTTCAACACTAGCCCATTCTATGGTCATTCATAATTTCTTCAGTAAATATGAATTATAGCCTATTTTTTACAGGCAATTTATGAAAATCCACTGAAAAATATTTTTACCTGCAATTTTAAGAAAATTCTGCCTAATATTCCATATTGGCTGGAGAATGGGCATTTCTGTCTTGTTAGTTGTCTACAATTGAATTTTAACAATGTTTCTAGTTTGGACAAGCAGTAGGCCTATCAATACACCTGCTTCAACATTCAACACAAAATTCTTGAAAGTCATCTGTGAAAGTGAAACGAGCAATTTCACCAATAATTACCAGAAAAATATGCAAGATGGGACTGAATTTGAGTAAAATTGTTCAGATTAGTATTACTAGATTTTTAAGATTAGATTTTGAACAAACCTGTAGCACAAAAAAAGTCTTGAAAATGCCACATGCGAAAGAAGGTAGAACAGCTTGGACAAGAAGAACCGATGCCAGTGCAGCTGCATATCTCCATCGCAAGATCTGAACATTGATGTCTCATGTCAAATTAGTGGCAATAAAAATCATATTCAATACATCTATATCACTTCTAGGCCTATTAAAAGAGGCATGGCAAAATTTCTCAAAGCTGTGAGCAAAAGCTACTTAAGTAGCTTTTGCTTTATACGTTTATAGTACAAAGCTACCAACTCAAGCAACTAAATAAATAATGTACCTAGAAAAATATACCGTAAAATGGGGTAACTTAGACCGGCGGGGTAACTTAGACCACTTTTTGTTTTTTTAACAAAAACCCCCACAACTCAAAAACTATTTGACATAGAAAAATTTTGTCAATGGGCATTAAAGGCCTAATACTGAGGCTACATAACACAATAGAAAGATTTGAAAAGTTTGCATATCTAATAGGTTACAGAGTCTTATATATGGTAATTTTAACTTAATTTCTAAGCCAGTCAATATTACCCCATCAGGGCTGCCATTAGGTAGTCACATTTCCCTCATTATGGGGTGGTGCCCTCCATTTGCAAACTATGACACTTTCCTCAAGTTTGTCATTTGCATATGTAACTAGAAGAGTTCTACTTCAATGCACCAAAACCTGGAGTTATTTGGAGTTATTTTACCAAAAAATAGAATTGATTTTACCACCCGGTCTAAGTTACCCCAAGAGCTGGGGTAACAAAGACCATCACTTTTTTTGAAATTACATTAAGACTATAAGAGGCAGGATCCAGCAATTTATGGTGAATGAAGCTAGAGTATAGACCTGTATTTTGCATGTTTCAATTCAAGTTTAATTTAGCTAGTAAAAAAATGGCATCATTTATAAAAAATGGTCTAAGTTACCCCATTTTACGGTAATAAATAAATAAAATATTTATTTACTTAATTGGAGGGGTTAATAACCCAGACCCCAGTAGGCTAATATATGAACATGTGCACATCAGTGACATCACATACTTGATATAGCCTACCTAGTGAGGCTAGTCATAACTCATGATAAATCATAATACCTAGTTGATCTGCAATTCTGCATATAGGTAGGTATGTAATTAAATTTCACGTTATATTTTGCTAATATTTTGGAAATGATCACGGTACTGGGCTAGTTTGATCTTGAATATATGGTACGTCTCATTCAATTGACATTCAGATTCCACATTGACATTCATTCAGAGTATTCCAGTTCCACCCCGGGCGGGCTGCCGGGCTGAGTGAGAGTTTTCGACCAAATTATCTTACCTCAGTTAGGTATGTGCACAAAGTACCCTTGAACGTATACAATGCTGGCAAAATGGCGGACAGCCACTTTCCGCATTGGCGCGCATAAAGTATCTAATTTTGAAAGTCCCGCCAAAATGTTAGCTTAATTTGATTGACTTTTGTTTGGAAATGAACTAAAAAAACTTGAACTATGACGACATCTTTTTTTTTCGAGAAATGTCTATCAAGTACCTGCTTAGCTGGGATGTGCAAGAGGTAACATTTGGGCGGGAAATAAACATGGATATCGTATTTTGAAATTATTGAAAGATAATTTGAAATCAAGATTATAGTTTTTAGAGCATGCTCTCGAAATTTCAGAGATTTGCAGCCATTCGGACAGTTTTTCTACCATGTCCTGTCGCGCTGTTTATGTTCAGTTCAGTCATGAGCCAGTGAGGTACGCTGGTCCTGAACTACTGCCGAGACAGAGACATGAGATGAGACAAGACATGAGACTGATGAGAGGGTACATGAGACGAGGCATGAGACAATATACGAGACGAGACATGAGACGAGATGTGAGATGAGACGCAAGACAAGACATGGGACGAGGAGATGAGACACGAGACGAGACATACGAGATTGGACATGATACAAGGCATGGGACGAGATGTGAGATGAGGTGCGAGACAAGACATGAGACGAGACATGAGACAAGGCATGAGATGAGGAGACAAGCATGAGACGAGATGTGAGATTGGACATGAGACGAGGAGATGAGAAACGAGATGAGACAAGACATGCAATGAGACACAAGATGAAATGAGACACAAGATGAGACAAGACAAGACACAAGACGAGACATGAGACGAGACACGACACGAGGCACGAGACGAGACACAACACGAGGCACGAGACAAGACACGACACGAGACACAGGACGAGATGAGACAAGGCACGAGGCACAAGACGAGATGAGACAAGGCACGATGAAGAGGAGCAGATTGCTCCTCTTGCTTAATCTTAGATTATTAGGTTCTTGCTTTTCATTCCTGGCACTTTGGTGTATTGCTTACTTTAGGTTATGCTTCCTAATATGGTTTGCTCTTTCCATTTAATTTAGGGCTTTTGTGACTTATTATTAATGACTGTTTCCTTCCCTTGTATTTGTTTCAGGTGTTGTTGTTCTCCATCAATAATTCACTAGTTAGAGCATGCAACTTTATGCAATGTCTGAGAAGTTCAAGTGCTTCTGACTTATCATGTTTGAAGTGTAGCATGCACCATTAAGAGTCTTGATTAAGTTTAATAAGCACACCACTTATCACGCTTAGTGATCCTTGTCTGCACCTAATTGCTTGCCTCACCCGCACCCATTGCCTGAAGCTCATTTAACCCTGGAAGTCAGTGTCGACCCATTCCTGCTTGCTGAGCAACGTAGCTGCTCCCTAAGGGTGAGTCACTAAGACTTGATCAACTCAAGAATAATAATATACCTTTCCTTTTCAATCTCATGCACTTGATTTACTGCAATGAAACTTGCTTATTACTTTGTTACCTGTTTAATGTCACCTTGTTCCTGTTTTGAATTGCTTTATTCCCTTTCTTGATTGCTGTTACATTGAATTTGAATCATTACAGCTATTAGATCTCATATCAAGTGTTTGCCTTGCCATACTGTACTTGCCTTGCCATACTGTGCTTGCCTTGCCATACTGTACTTGCTTTTCTTGTCTTGCCATGTCGCTTGGACATTTGTCCTGTGTTGTTGCTGATTTATGCGTTATTGCTTGTTTTAATCCTAACCAAAATACTCCTGATTTGAGGTACACATCCCCTTTAACTGCCCTTAAAGACCATAGGCTCTAGTCCCGTTATTTTGTTAACTTGGTAGGAGCAGTCGGTGTGGGACCCAGCTGGCACGCTGTTGAGAAGACCTGGAACCCAGACCTGCCCAGTCCTGACCTTGCTGTCCTGAGTCTTCTCATCTTCCAAACTGCAGCTCCTTGAAGATCACCTTGCTGAAGCTCATTGTTTAAATGTCAACCTGGGCTTTGTTATCATTACTTAACTAAATGAGTCCTGCATATTAGTCTTGTTCATGAACAAGTCTTTAACTATTTCATGATTTCATGTGGATATACTGGTTTTAAACCAATATTTGCGAGTTACTCGGGATATATGCTCTGATGTCGACTCTTTTAAGCAGGGTTGGCAATGATTAAATCAAAATGATTAAATCATGTGATTAAATCACATGATTTTTTTATAAAAAAATCATGATTTTTTTGATTTTTTTGATTTATTTGATTTTTTTGATTGTTTCATATATTTAAAAATATTGAGTGGCAGTCTTTAATTTATATTGAGGTATTGTTATTCATGGTTTAGTATAAATGTACTATGAATGACAAATTGGTATATAAACTTGTTGCCTTTAGTGTGTATTAGGTTCCAATAAATGGAATGTTTTTGGTACAGAGGCATCAAGTGTGCAATGCATTGTACGTAGCTAGCAGCTTAGCTAATTCTTATAAGGCTATAAGTAGTCTTTAAAGCTATTTGACTATTTGTTATATATTGATTAAAATATACAATTTAAATGTGTTAGATATAGCTTACACAGGGTGCGGCAGAAATGATTGAACAGTTTTGAGGCAAAATAAAAGAGTAATGGAGGTACATAAAGAAGAAAGTTTATTTTAATCATGATTAGCATAACATACCATTCAAAATACTTATGTTTTGAAAAAAAAATATCAGGAAGATGGGGTTTGTTAGCTGCATCACACTGTTGGAGTCGTTCTCGGAAGTTTCCTACAGCACGTTCACACATATGGCGAGGTATGGCCATAACCTCTGCTACAATGATCCGTTCCCTTAGCTGTGGTAGGGTGTGAGGGCGACTTTTGAACACCCTTTTTTTTAGATGTCCCCAAAGAAAGAAATCGCAAATGCTCAAATCAGGTGACCTCGCAAGCCACTGTAAATCACCCCTTAGAGACACCAGACCTACAGGAAACATGCGTTTCAAAACATTGAGTGACATTCAAGCTGTGTGAGCTGTAGCCCCATCCTGCTGGAACCACGTCTCTCAATGCTTCATTTTCAACAATGTTTTCCATCATGGGCTGCAAGAAATTTTGCAACATTGCAGCATAGCAATTGGAATTCACTGTCATGGTTACTCCCTCCTCTGAGAACAACTCCAAAAGTGTGTTGCAGCTAACAGCCCCCATCTTCCAGATATTGTTTTCAAAACATAAGTATTCTAAATGGTATGTTATGCTAACCTCTAGGAACATAAACTTTCTTCTTTATGTCCCTCCATTACTCTTTTATTTTACCTCAAAACTGCTCAATCGGTTCTACTCCACCCTGTATATAGAGAGGTTGAGATTGTATTGACCTTTTAGGCAATTGGAAAGATTTTCCACCCTAATACGATTATTCTAATTAAAACTAGAAACAAAAGAATTACAATTACAAGACTATATATAAAATAATTAAATGCAGTGAATGGATATAAAATATTTGAATTGTGCACATGTTTATCTCAAACAGTGTTAGGCTGTTAGCTTTTCTCATAACTTAAGTCTTGTTTCATGTCGTATGAGGTTTGTTTGGTTATCGTCCAGTTTATGTTTAGTATTGGTTTATTGGTCTGAATTAAATGGGAACAGTGCAGTCAGTCACTCAGTCACTACTAGTCGGTGTGTATAGAAGGTAGAGTCTGGTAGATTTATAGGACATAAAACTAGTAGATGATAGATCTATTGATAGTGCTGTGCACTGTGCTATCAGCTACCTCTCTGTTATGTGACTCTTCAATGTTTAGGAGATCTGCATTCCTGAAGTGTTTTTGTATATTGAAGCCAGTTAAATGGTCAATATTTAGCTCCATTACCTTGCTCCATATAAACTTTACAAAGCAAATGAATAGACTTATCAATAATTGTTTACCCAAAAATCCCTAAGTGGTAAACAAAACCTTGGCCTGTTGGCCATTATTGAAGGCAATAAGTGCCTTTTTTAGCCATCCATTATGATCCACATACTGTTATTGTCAGTAGGCTAATTTAAACATAAAAAACAACACTTCAAAAAGACAAAAAAAGGTGAAAAAATCAAAAAAATCAAATAAATCAAAAAAATCATGAAAAAATCAAAAAAATCATTGATTTTTGATTTTTTTGATTTTTTTAAAAAAATCAAAAAAATCGCCAACCCTGCTTTTAAGTACAATAGGGCTTAGACTTTCGGACCACGAGTGATTTAGTTGAACAGTTGTGCAACCAACAAGTGATGTGATTGTAGCGATTTAATTATTGTCAGATAGTGTTAGTAGACGACTCATTCATGTGTGTGCCCATTATTAGCACCCATCACCTTCAATTCCAGTATTGCGGACTAGTATTAGATATTGATATTGGTGCTTGTTTTCTGTATTTCAATAATCAGTGATCATATTCAACCAAGGCGCTGTTTTAATATGCTTGTTTATCCGCAACAACGAGACGAGATGAGACGAGGCACGAGACAAGATGAGACGAGGCCACGAGACAAGACACGAGATGAGATGAGACGAGATGCGACGAGGCACGAGACAAGATGAGACGAGGCACAAGATGAGATGAGATGAGGCACAAGACGAGATGAGACGAGGCACGAGACGAGATGAGACGAGGCACGAGACGAGACATGAGATGAGGCACGAGACGAGACATGAGATGAGGCACGAGACGAGACATGAGATGAGATGAGACAAAGCACGAGACGAGATGAGACGAGTCACAAGACGAGATGAGACGAGGCATGAGACGAGACATGACATGATGATGATGATCAGTATTTAATATTATTATTAATATCAATATTTACTAATATTTATTATAATTATTTATGAATTAATATTAATAAAACTTAATAATATTACTATTACTGGTAAATTTTATTTGCATATTTTATTTAATTTCATATTTTTAAGCTCAATTATGGTGCCAAGACCATGAAACTGAAATTTATTCCATCCAATTCTGCCTTTAAGGTGGTGCTTGAGAGCCGCGAGGTCCCGGACAGGTTCCTAAGCAGTTCTTCACTAGTTAGGGTGAACTTTACTCCACTCATAAATGAGATGACGATCTGAAATTTTCCATACTTATCTAGGTATTTATTTACAATCCGTGTAAAGGAACAAAAAATATGTAAGCTTTGTATAACACCAGTTATGATAGATGATAATTTTGTACCTTGATGTTAATTAAACCGGCGTCTTATCGAAATTTTTGAGACTTTAACGTGTAGTACTATTTATTCTCTATCTGATGTTACTAAATACATGTCAGAATCAACATCCATTTTGTAAATATTCACAACCAAAAAATGTTTTCATCACTGCTAAACAGGACTTTTCACATTTTCATTGGATGCTTGCGCTGAGCACGTTGAAAGTGTCGTACGCTCATAAATCTCTGGCTTGAAGTGGCTACCCTTGTCTACCCCATAGAGGGGAAGAGGGGAAGGGGATAGAGGGTAGAGAGAAGACATCCTCTACCCCACCTTGCATGGAGGTAGACAGGCTGCACTGCTCACCCTCCCGTGTTCCCTCCTATGGCCCTGTGTTAAAGGGCTAGCATGTTTATTACAGCACTCCATTGTTAGTTCATTGGTGAGAACCCTTGTGACAACATGCGATTCTCTTGTAAGCAAACGAAAAGTCCAAGACTGTGTCTTTCAGCATACCGAATCAATAGAGGATTACAGTTAAAAAGATGGAGGTAAGATTCATCACATTTTATTGCTTATTATGAAAATATCAAGATAATAACATAAGTGAGTAATACATAAAATGATAGTTTAAAATTAATTTATCTCTTTAAGTTTCCTGCCATTATCATGTTGATGGTAAATATTAATGCTTGCGATTATGTAATACCGATTTTCAAGTCTTGGTTCAATATCTGTCTCTTATACACATCTAGATGTGTATAAGAGACAAGCACGGACACCGGCAGCTGAGGGGCAAACGCGCGATTGTGTTGATATCTAGCACAGGACGCGGGGCAGAGGCAAGATGTGTATAAGAGACAGCACTGAGGCTGACCTGGCCACTGAGGCTGACCTGGACACTGAGGCAGACCTGGACACTGAGGCTGACTTGGACACTGAGGCTGACCTGGACACTGAGGCTGACCTGGAAGTGGACACTGAGGCTGACTTGGACACCTGTCTCTTATACACATCTAGATGTGTATAAGAGACAGGGTCTACATACCCCCCTTAAGTTGAGTAATAGCATTCATATCTAGCAGTTGCACCCATTTCCCCCTAGTGGGTCATGGAGGAGTTCAAATAGTGGGTCATGGAGGAGGTCAAATAGCGGGTCATGGAGGTCAAATAGTGGGTCATGGAGGAGTTCAAATAGTGGGTCATGAAGGAGTTCAAATAGTGGGTCATGGAGGTTATAGTGGGTCATGGAGGTTATAGTGGGTCATGGAGGAGTTCAAATAGTGGGTCATGGAGGAGTTCAAATAGTGGGTCATGGAGGAGGTCAAATAGTGGGTCATGGAATGATGGAGGAGGTTAAATAGTGGGTCATGGAGGAGGTCAAATAGTGGGTCATGGAGGAGGTCAAATAGTGGGTCATGGAGGAGTTCAAATAGTGGGTCATGGAGGAGGTCAAATAGTGGGTCAAGGAGGTTATAGTGGGTCATGAAGGAGTTCAAATAGTGGGTCATGGAGTTCAAATAGTGGGTCAATTTAGTCATGCACTAAATGCCCTCACTAATAGAATGCACTCCAGAACATGAAACATGCACTAAAAAGGATATCACAAGCGAATCCAAACTTGTAATTAAGCCATAAAGAGAGTGATATTGTCTAAAGTTTATTATTCTTAATTAAGATGCGGGTTATTGGTACAAAGTAGTGTTAACTTTATGATATATTTTATTACAGTGCTCTGGTGTGGGGTTACTCCGTGAAGCATCAGCCCCAGAAGGTGGGGAAAGATCACGTACTGGAGGATGAAGATGTGGTGCAAATCATCAAAAAAATATAACTTAAACCGTCAAGTTTACCCTCTTGAACTTCGGTGGCCCCTTTTTTTATAACAGCGGTACAGCATTGAAATCTAAAAATGCATTTCATTTCTCTCCATTGCGCTTGCTTTTTTATATAGTAAGTCCCCGCTGAAGCAGCAGCTTTTTAGGTGGTCGTCCGTTCCTTGTCACCTTGTCCGTTGCCACGATGTTGTATAACCGATGTAAAGAATCAGTTCAAATAGTAATCGTGCTATATTACCTTCGTATCGAAACTTGTGTACAGAAAGTGCCGTGAATATGTATTATATTGCCCCTTCAAACTCCTGTCACATCTTCTTGTTATTGCTCCTTCGCTCTTGTCACGTCTGGCGAGTGACAGGAGCGACTTATCAGTTTTTTATTCTCGTACTCGATCTGTATAATCTGTTTAAATTGCTTAGCACGAAATTATTCAAACAAAAATACAGCTGCGCATACAGAACGTAGGTACTCACTTGGACACAGATGCTTCTCGCTGTTCTTGTTAAGATGTCCGCTGCAGAGAACTGGCTTAATGAAGTTTTAGAAAGATTCGCTAGAGAAATCGGTTCTCAATTTTTTTTGGAATGGCGATGGTGAGCACACATATACATAATTATAATAGAATTTCCGTAAAAATTTCTTTAGTATATCAGTTCCTGTGGAAGTAAAGTGAAGATTGTTGACGTACATGAGCTGTTGCGAATCATTTAGTCATATCGATGGATAATATTAGTAGCTGGGTACTTGCTTCTAACACTTGACGATCTCCAACGTTGAGCTTACCAATTAAATTTCATTATGTTAAAAAAAACTACTTCGACGCCATCTTAGTAACTTGATATTTAAGTTGCGAATTAGAAAGAATGGGAAGCTACGCCGCCTACGCGTAGCGAAAACTATTGCTGCAGAACCAAGACTGTCTTGGATGGATTCTTCAGCGAACTCAAACTAAGTAGGTTGTCCGGCCGGTAATAATACTGCTAACATCCTCAGTAGTTTACTAAAGAGTGAGGGCAAATCCAAGACAAGATGTAATTCTGCCATTGTTAAAAGTGATGGCACAAAATAACTATAGTTCGTGTGACAGTGGTAAAGTAATATGAAATTTTATAAAATTCCACACTTTTCCCCTGACTTCAGAGACAAAAGAAATTCATGACCAAAATTTAAATTCACCCATTCAATTTTTATTCGCACAATAATGCCTTCTCATGTTCGTGAAATTTTGTTGCTTTGTTTGTTATAAGTTTACAATATAGAATGGGCTCTGAATGAGAAGAATATCATTTAATCATGAAAATTCGTTCTAAGTTTCCGCTTCACTTCAGTCGTTCCAGACTTCGATGCTGTCGGTCGCAATCGTAGAGTTGTCATGCCCGCGCTCGATGTTAGCTGTGCAACTCGTTTGCTAAACTTCACGAGTGTAGAGGAAACTGCAGATGCAGTTAAGTAGATGAACTAACAAGATTGATCATCAATTGACATTTCTCATTTTTTGAAGCGGAAAATCCATTCAAAAACTTGCGTTCTCCCCATAGGATCATCCGTGTGGGCTGTCTGTAGTATTTTCTTGAGTTTTTTTCAGAAAAGAAAGCAAATTTTGAGGGAAGCTCGTCGCTCACGAAAATCAGTCATCATCAAAAAACGACGAGCGCGCAAAACAGGTGACGGAAAAAAATTGGAAGGAACCACAAGGCCTCCTAGGGCAGCGATGCTCGGCATACTACCTACGGAGACTACCGAGTCGACACATGCAATGGTGAATCTGCGTCTATTATTTCACAAATAGTAATTGCTTCTGACAACTAATCGTCTCCTTAGTTCACTCGACTATAGACCTTTCATTGAAACTAGAAGCGGGCTGGATTGTCAGACACTAGGTCACACTAGTTTAAAAGAACTTCCGCTTCTCAATAAATACAAAGCTTCTATATTAATCTATTAGCTTTTCACGATCAGTAGATCAATCTCAAAATTGTCCTCATAAATTCTTTCTTCACGTTTTGAATTTCTATGCCCGAGCAGAATACAATTACGACGCTTCAATGAAAATACTTGCTCTTCAACTAGTTTTACTATTAAGATAAGACTAATTTCACATCGATTCAGAAGCTCTGTTCAAGAAGCTCGTCAAACAAGGAGGAAAACACAAGTAATATTTTCAAAATCTTTACTAAAATAATCAGGTACATAGTACAAGCACTAATGCACATGTCCGTAGAACTTAGTCAGGCATTACAGCTTCACTGAATACACTAAATAGATTCCATTAAAGAAAAAAATGCTATAAACCGAGATAAACTTTGGTGAAACTATAAAACTACGATGAAACTTACTCCACTCCTCATCATGAGTATTTACAAATGAATTCCTTTCAACCTAATCTTCAACAACAACAAATTTACTTCTTAGGCGTGACCTTCTCGGCAACAGGTTTCTTCGCCTTGGGCTTCTTGGAGGCAGGAGACTTGACGGCTTTCTTCGCGGACTTGTTGGGGCTCTTCTTGACAGCAGGCTTCTCGGTGGTGGTCTTGGCCTTCTTGGGGGTCTTGACCTTGACAGCAGGAGCCTTCTTAGGACCGGCGGCTTTATCAGGGAGCATGAAGGAGCCTGAACCACTAGTCTTCTTGAAATCATGCTTACTAGTTCCCGGTGCAACTGCTCGCTTGAGCGCCACACGCCCGTGCGAGCGGACAGCCTTCTCGTCGAACTTGTATGTTTTAAAGGTGACGGTGAACTTCTTGATTACCAGACCAGATCCTTTGCGAACCTTCGGTACTTTGATGGAAGTCGAGATCGTCTCGGTGTACGTGTACTCGGTGTCAGGCTCCTTGACAGCAGGAGCATTCTTAGGACCGGCGGCTTTATCAGGGAGCTTGAAGGAGCCTGAACCACTAGTCTTCTTGAAATCATGCTTACTAGTTCCCGGTGCAACTGCTCGCTTGAGCGCCACACGCCCGTGCGAGCGGACAGCCTTCTCGTCGAACTTGTATGTCGTCGTGGTGAAGGTGTACTTCTTGATTACCATACCAGATCCTTTGCGAACCTTCGGTACTTCGATGGAAGGCAAGATCGTCTCGGTGTACGTGTACTCGGTGTCAGGCTTCTTAGCCTTCGCGGCTTTCTTCACAGGTGCAGAAGTAGAAGCAACGGGAGCAGCGGCGTCAGCCATGGCGATTGTTAGGCTTTATAAGGAACGGCGTAACACTGTTTAAAGCGAGAGGTCAGGATGTGTTCTAAACTCGCTGCAGTGTCGCGTCACTTCTAATCCAAACGGTCCGACGTGAAAGTAGACAGCTACTGCAGAGCGTCAACCGAGTCGACTTTGTCGCAGCAACTGGAGGATTTGTGTTATCTTGATCTCTTTGATAGCGATTTTCTGTTACTTTTTAAACAAGTAAAGAGCGTTTCTAGCATGAAATCTGATGAAAAAGAGTTTCCACATTCATTGGTTGTGATATTTTTTTGATATTTAGAGTGACAAAGGAGATAAATGGGTATCTAGGAGAAGATCCCGTTGAAGTGATCACTATTAAGGTCGGTTTTTTCATTTAAAATTAATAATAATAAATTTTTATGGCCATAAGCTATCATCAAATGAAAATTTGAAAATTTTCCTACAGAATAGGCGGTACAAAAATTCAAATATTGTTCAATGAGTTCCTGAAATGAGCGTCAAAGTTGGACATGGTAACACACTTTTCGACGCGCCATATGCTGAAGGTGAGCTGAACTGTGTGCTGCCTGAGTCAGGGAGATGTGGCGAGTGTGATGCCCATTTAAATAGAAAATACACAAACTATTCAGCATTTAAATGGAAAATATACAAACTATACAGCATTTAAATGGAAAATATACAAACTATACAGCATTTAAATGGAAAATATACAAACTATACAGCATTTAAATGGAAAATATACAACCTATACAGCATTTAAATAGAAAATATGCAAAACTATACAGCATTTAAATGAAAAATATACAAACTATACAGCATTTAAATAGAAAAGAAACAAACAAATGCGCGTATAAAAAAGTGGGACGCACAGCACTATTTTTCTCAGTGTGCCGCCGCTAGCCCTGAATTTGGCCTTCAACTTCAGAGTCCGGAGAAACTTCAGAGTTCAGCGACCAATTTCAGGGCCTCAGAAACTGCATGATGTCAGGAGTGTCAGGTGTGTCAGGAGTGTCAGGTGTCAGGTGTGTCAGGAGTGTCAGGTGTGTCAGGAGTGTCAGGTGTGTCAGGTGTGTCAGGAGTGTCAGGAGTGTCAGGAGTGTCAGGTGTCAGGAGTGTCAGGTGTGTCAGGAGTGTCAGGTGTCAGGAGTGTCAGGAGTGTATTTCGTCAAGTCTTTTGTCTTCTTGTGTATAAAATCTTTAGACTAGTTTTTGCACAATTGTGCTATACAATTGTGCTATACAATTGTGCTA